GTGGAAGGGTGCAATATAACAACACATGCAAAATGACTAACACTTGCTGACACAGAGTGGATATTCAGTATCAAGTTGTTTTCCTACACAAGAGAGTGGCACAGAGTAAGTAATATCTGTCCTATAAACTCTGTCCATGACTACCGCTCCCTGGCCTGCTGAAAGAAGACATAGTATATCCTCCCACTAATTTCTTTCCCCATTCCTACAGACATTCTTCCTATGAGATGGTGTCATCCTCATCCATTCCTGTTTTCTTCTAGACACCTATGGTTTGTTTCTCTCCCTCAATGATGCAATACCTCACACAACACTCAGTTCCTCTGACATGGGCTGACTAATAAAGGAGAAACAAAAGGGCTTCTTCACCTCAGCTTAGATGCAACAATTCTGTTTTTCCAGGCTAAGGATTTCTTCAGGGTTTTGTTTTTCTTTGTTTGGTTTGGTTTGGTGTAGCAGCCACAACTTGCCGTTGACTCATTTCGCTTCTAGCCGAAGGAAACCCCTGAGCCTTTTTTCCCTCCATGTGACACTGTTGAGCCATCTCTTCCCCACCCAGATCTTGGACAGCTGTTTGTTTTTCTAGAGCTGAGTAAAGGACTTCTCGTACCCAATAAATTCCATCTTGTTAGATTCATTTTTTAAATTGTAGCCTTTAGCACATGAACGATCCTGTTCCATCACCACTCCACATCTCAAATTAGATTGATTTTCCAATGATGCCCTTTATTGAAGACATTTGCAAAAAGCCTAAATAGGACAGGAGGCAACACCGATCCCTGTGACCTGCCGCAAGAAGCCTCTTAACAGGTTGAAAGGGAATTCACTAAACAGCACTCTTTGGGTAGGGTCATTCAACTGAATATGAATTCACCTAATTGCTCTAGAATCCAGTTCATATTATTACACATTTTCTGAAACAAATCATGAGCGATCTTGCCAAAGGCCTTGGTCAAATCACATGCACAATTTATGCAGCATTCACTCCATCTTCCAGCCAAGAAAGTTTATCAAACATGAAAACAAATCTACTGTAGAATGGTTTACTCTTGTGAATACTGTGTTTATTAATTTTTGAGATGTACAGCCCCTCTCCATTTACCTCACCCATTAAAAAACTCATTTTCTAAAATGTACCCCCTGGCTTTTTTTTTTTTTTTTTTTGAGACAGAGATCATTCTGTCACCCCGACTGAAGTGCAGGGTGTGATCTCAGCTCACTGCAACCTCCACCTTCCAGGTTCAAGCAATTCTGCTTATAGCCTCCCGAGTATCTGGGACTACAGGTGTGTGCCACCACACCCGGCTAATTTTTGTATTTTTAGTAGAGACGAGGTTTTGCCATGTTGGCCAGGCTGGTCTCAGAACTTTTGACCTCAAGTGATCTGCCCACTTTGGCCTCCCAAAGTGCTGGGATTATAGGCATGAGCCACCACTTTACTGGCCTCAAATGTACCCCTTTTTTCCATAGAGACAGTCTAGCCTGTGATCCAGAGTGTGGCTTGAATCCTGGCTCCTCCACCTTCTGGCTGTGTTGACATGGTCACTTTGCCTCAACTATCTGTGCCTCAGGTTTTTAATCAGTAAAATGGGGACAATAATAGAACTCACATCACAGGATTAGTATAAGGATTGAATCACTCCACATTTGTAAAGCATTTAGAAACATTTCTGGCACCTTAGTAAGCAAAATATGATTATGGAATTTGGAAGTTGTTTGAGCTAGAGATACAAACATGGGAGTCTTTGGCATATCAATAGTATTTGTTTTAGCTTAGGTTCCCCTGGAAGCAGATCCTGACAAGGATGCGAGTGTAAATACTTTATTTGGGAGGACAGTCCAAGAAATACTTGTGGAGAAATGGGGAATTGAGACAGGAAAAGGAAGGACGTTAATAAAAGATGCATTATGAAGTAAGTTACTCTTGTAGGTAACAGAAGTTTAGTCCCATTGTGGGACTCAGACAGGGTATAGAAGAGGTCTTAAAGTTATCCTAACTGAGGGACCAGGAAGCTATGATAATTATCCATCAAATCTCATCCATCTTTGGCCAAGGCCTGGCTTGGGGGCTTAACTCTTCAGCAGTTCCAGCTTCCCTGCAATAGAGCTCCTGGGGCCAAGAAAAGGGCCCTAGGCAGAGAGTCAGAAGTGCCCCCAGTAAGCAGCCTTTTGTGCGTAGGGTGAATCTTGAGGGACTACGAGTGGGCCACCCACGTGTGAGAGTATCAGATGTCATCCTAGGAGTGAGTGAAGTTAGAGAGAAGGTGTCTCGTCACCAAAGTGCTGAAGCAGTCCAACATTTGGAGGTCAAGAAGATGAGATGGAACCAGGAAAAGAAACTGAGGAGAGGCTAGTGAAAAAGAGACAGTAGAGTTCTGGACTCCACGTTGAGAGGAAGAATCCAAGCAGGAGGAAGAATCAACCATGTCAAATGCTGCAGAAAGGTCAAATAAGGTGAGAATTGAAGATTGACCACTGGATTTAGATACTTGAAGGCCTTTGGTGGCATTAACAGGAGCAGTTTTAGAGAGGTGGTTCAGGGTAGGGAGTGAGTTCAAAAGAGAAGTAAAATTGGAGGCAGCCTGTATAGACAACTCTTTCAAATAGTTTGTTGAAGACAAATAAAACAGTAGCTGTAGGGGTGTGCAGGTCGAGAGAGAGAAATATAGAGAGAGAGTTTGGGAAATGTTGCAGCGTGCTTGTATGTGGATGGGATTGATGGGATTGATTTAGTCAAGAGGGAAAAACTGATGATGGAGAGAAAAAAAGGATAGTTATGAAAGTGTTATCCTTACTAAGTGAGAGGAAATGAGCTCTTGTGCATGTGCACAAAGGGAGGAAGTTTCCTTAGGAGCAGAGACCACTCATCAGTGGTAACAGAGAGGAGGCAGAGGGGTCTAAACCCTCCACCCCAGATGCAGACAGGTGGCGAAGTGTGTAGAAAATCTCTTCTGAGCTGTGATAGTTTTGACAGAAACAATCAAGTCAGCTGATACCTGATGACTGGGGCAGAGGGGATGTTAGAGGATTGAGGAGAATGGAGACAGTGGGAAATAGTCATCCAGGACTGAGAACAGATGAGGGAAAGGGAGAAGGATGGCCAAGTAGCACCAAAGGCTTATGGGAGATTAGTGGCCTGAGAGCAGTCAGCAGGGTTCTGTCTTTCTCTAGGCACATTCAGCTGCTTGGGTGCAGGCATGGAGTGGGGAGAATTAGATTTAACCAAGGTTGGATAAGCTTTATGTCTAACTTCTAATATGTAACCTTGCTCCAAGAAGACGTTATGTAGTAATTAGCTAAGAAATTAAATTTTCTTGAGACGATAATCCTGAATTCCAAGAATTTTGAGAATATGTTAAAAGCAAAGTGCGATAAAAGAGATTCGTGGGAAAGCAAAGCTGAAGTTGCTTTACTCAATCCATTTTGAAGGTGTTGCTTTGCAAAAACTGAATAGGGGGTTAGCAGAAACTCGTTTACCCTCTGTAAATGTTGGGAGCTGGCATTCCTCTGAGTCTCTTAATTCTGGTAGACCCTGTAGGCACTGACGAGCTAAGTAATCAGAACCCAACATGTTCTTTAACTCTAGGAGTTGTAAATTATCGGTTCCAGTTTACAAGAGGCTGAGTATGTTACAATCACAGGACTATAAAAAGCAAGAAATGTGTGTGTGAAGTAGCTCCACCTTTTTCCAGTAAACATGTCTTATTCTGGGTGTCTTACAGCAGGGCTCACATCCCTTGATGAGCCTCTGGTCAAAGATTCTAGTAAGAAACTCTTGGAGACCTGAAGCTGGATAATCAGGACCTCTATTTTACCCATGGATAATGGGAGTTAAGATACTGTGTCTTTCTGTCCCAATATCCAGTTTATCTAGCTTTTGGACAAGGTCAAACAGCCCAGTTGTAGGTGCTCAAAAGACATTCTTAGCACTAAGGCACAAGATGTGTGCAACAAAGGGGGTGTATAGCAGATTGAAAAGTGTCCCCCCAAAAAGATGTTCAAGTCCTAATTTCCAGAACCCATGAATGTAAGCTCATTTGGAAATGGGGCCTTTGTAGATATAATTAAGGATCTTGGGATGAGATTATCCTGGATTTACTGATATACTTAAGACAAAAGAGAGGGAGACTTGAGACAGGTGGAAACACATCTGAGGGTTTCATGAAGCTCTAGCCTCTTCATGAGGTTAGAGTGCTGTGTCCACAAGTGCCAAGGATTGCTGGAAACCAGAGGCGAGGAGAGAGGCATGGACAGATTCTCCCCCAGATCCCCAGGAAGAACCAACCCTGCTGACACCTTGATTTCAGACTTCTGACCTACTTAACTGCGAGAGAATACAGTTCTGTTGTTTTCAGCCACAAGTTTGTGGTACTTTGTTAAGGTAGCCCTAGGAAACTGATACAGGGAGTGAACTCCTATTTCAGTCATGTGAAAAGTGAATGATGAGGAAAAACACAATGACATGTTCATGGGGCTAGGGAGACTGAGACCACCTGCAGTCCCTGAAACTTTGGGGGTAATCTCCTTTAGGTTCCCTTTAGAAAAATATGGCTCCTCTTCCAGAAACCACATATTCTAATCGTCTGGAATATCTGTAGTTATTTGAGTCCATTGTTCTATTTCTATGAAAGTGTTTTCAAAATTAGCTGAGCCCGGTGGCACGTAGTAATCCCAGCTACTGGGGAGGCTGAGGCGAAAGGATCACTTGTGCCCAGGAGTTCGTGGTTGCCATGAGCTCTGATCACGCCACTGTACTCCAGCCTGGGCGACAGAGTGAGACCACGTCCCAGGGGAAAAAAAAGCATTTGCAAATATTTTGTTTCCCAGGAAGTCATAATACCCTTATGATTCGCTCAGCCTGATTCTGCAGTCCTGAAATCTCATCTTGCAGCAAGTCTGTGCTGAGAAGGCTGCGCTTACAGAGGGCAGCCTCCCAGATCCCTGAATGCGCTGATTCCTGACTTGTCTCATCTGGAATAAAAAGAAATAACAACCAACACTGCACTTTGATGCTTTTATTCATCTTTCTTCACCTCAAGTGCCCTCATCCCACTTAGGGAGTCCTGGCTTATCCTTCAAGACTTGCCCAAATGCCTTCTGCCCTGTGAAGTCCTCCTTGAAACTGAAGCAGCAATTATTCTTTCTCTGTGTTTCCACAGAACTCTCTACCTCCATTAAAGGACTTATTAAATTCTATTACAGCTTAGTTTTTATGTAACTGTCTTCCCTGAAACACTCCAGAGGAGGCATCATGACCTATTCATGTCTGAATCACCAGCACTTAATCTAGAACCTAGCTCAACAGTTTTCATATAAATTAAGAAAAGCAATACCTCAGAAAATCTCTAGTAGCCAAATTCAAAGTTTCTCTAAAGTGTACAGTTGCTATGATTTAACTTCCTCTAGTTTGGATTTCAAGCCATTAGAATTTGGAAGAGGAACAAAGTAGTAGAGAAATTATTGTGTACTATGTGAGCAGAGTTCAGTGCAGAATTATGGAGGAATGTAAGTGTTTGTGGCTTTGGCATGATGGTCAAGGGAAACATCTTTCTTGCAGAGGAAAAGGGCAGTGTCATTCTGGGATCACAACCTTCTCGAACATGTAGAAGGTGGGTTCTTCCTATTTTATATTTGAGCTCAGCAAAGGCTTCTTCCTGAATTAATCACTGAAGAAGCACAAAGAGCCATATTTCCTTCATCTGGCCACTGCAGAAAAGTAAAATGTTTACACCAGATGGTGTTCAATGTGATGTTATCATTCCAGGTTTATCCAAATTCCTTCTTTAATAATATTTTGCTTGGAGTTACACCTGGAGTTTTATGTATCTGCAAATATTCAGGATGAATTCTCAGTTGTGGAAGAAAAAATAGACAGTACTCTAAGCTTACGTGTAAATATGCTTTGTAGAAAAGATAAACATTTCAATGAATAAAAGCCGAGGGCAAAAGGAAGGTTTGAGTAGGTAAGTGGTGTGTGTTCCCATGGGAACATGCCGCTGCTGCCAACAAATGCATGGGAAAAGGCTTTAGAGTCTTTCTATGATTCAGGCTAAAATTAAATTTGTAAAGGAGCTGAAACACACATGAATCATCCCCTCTTGTCCACTATGATCATTACTATCTCCAAGTCAAAAGCTAGCCAAGAGTCACAATGAAGACTAGTCTGTTGTGACAACTGAAGTTGTTTGTACTAAGTAATATCCCCACCAAGGAATTCCAACAGCTTCTAACATCTACTGTGTAACAATTTAGATTCCTTGCCCTTATTAAGGCCCTTATAATCTGGCACCATGATCTCGAACCCATCTAATTTCTGAGCACTTTCCTATGTGGGTCAAGGTGGTCTCATTATCCCCTAAACATTTTTGTTCATTCTTGACTCCAAACCTTTCCCATACACTTTGCCTGTCTTCTAGTGCTTTTTCCTTCTTCTATTCAAACCAATCTATTCTTATATTCCAGTCCTAGAACCATCTGATCTGTGAGGTTTGTTATGATTGCAAATCATACTGGTATCTCCCAGCTCTGGATTTTTGTACTGCCCTCAAGAGCTGGAGGTACAAGCTAATGTTTCTATTGAAATCAACCATCGTTTATGGACACTCTGTGGTTCACATATGGTGCTAGTAGCATAATGGACATTTCTTGTTGTTCTGATCCCTATTTTCTTTGCTCTTCCTTTGTTTTAAAACAGTTATTTTCCTTCCCATAGATGAACAATATAACTAAGGGCTTTTCAATCCTATGTAAGGAAAACATTTTCCTCCCCTTCTTAGGATAAAAAAGAATTGATGCATACTAAGCTTGGTGAAATCTGTTGTAATCTTCAACTTTAACCCCTTCCAAATTGAGGGGCTCGAATAAATCTTAAAGCACAAATTAGTTACCAATTAGGGAAATCCTGTACAGATAAGGGAATATCAGTTTTGGACCATTTGACTGTTTTTTTTGATATCCAGATTGCAGAATTACCCACAGGCATACTCATTGGTATGTACTGAGTCTTGGCCAGGATTCAGAATAAGAGTAATTCTTTTGGGATCTGAATCTTGCAGGAAAATAAAAACAGACAAAGCTTGATTCAGGCCTCAAAGTTTGGCAATGCCAGTTTAACCATGAACAGATAATGAAATCTTCATATTTGTTTAATATCTAAAACCCCAAAATGCCTCTATTTCTACATCAATACCATCTCTACATATTTTTTTTGTTTCTGAATGACAAGACATTTAGCTTGATTTTATTTATTTATTTTTATTTCAACAGGTTTTTGGAAAACAGGTAGTGTCTGATTACATGGATAAGTTATTTAGTGGTGATTTCTGATATTTTGGTGCACCCATCACCCGAGCGGTGTACACTGCAAAGTCATTCTTGTTCACTTATGAAGAATGAGAAGAAAAACTCTAAAACAAAAATTCTCTTGCCTTTAATCGAACAAACTATAGCCCACTCTTGAATGACTTTTCTGTAGCTGGCCCTTTCCAAAATATTTACTCCTTCCCCCTTTTACCTCCACAAGAGAAATATCCCTCCCCAAATCCTTGACTTTGGGTTTGGCCGCGTGACTTGCCTTGGCAGATGTGACACAAATAGGAGGATGAAATGTGCTTGAGTGGTTGGGCCTGGCCTCTTGCACCTCTGTCATCGCCACGAGAAGAGCATGTCTTGACTAGTCCAAGGCACATGAAGAAGATGAAGCAGAGCCACCCAGCTGACCTGCAGCTCTGTGAGATTAAATGATTGGTATTTTAAAACACTGAGTTTTGGGGTGGTTTGTGACACAGAATTTTTGTGGCGATGGCTGATACATATCCCAATAGCTCCGCAAAGGGTTATATCTTCCCAAGTTCTGTTTCTGTTCCCAGAAAATACCATTCTTGACCATAAAAGATGCAAATATAGTATTTTCCTATGAGCTTCTAACTCAAATGGCATAGGGTGTTTCAGAAAAATGTTCCTATTAGTTTTTTTTTTTTTTTATTATTATTCCTGACATCACACTTCCCTCTAAGTACTGGGAGTGCACAGAAGAAAATGTAAGTCTGTGTGCTCAGGTACTTATTTGGTTTCAGGCTCAGAGGAGTCTATGATCCCTGAATCTGACACTGTCTAATGGACTTCAGAGAACTTGAAGGCAGGAGGCTCTATCAGCCAGGGGCTCAGCAGGAGAGACAGCACACTCAGCTTTGTTGTGTAGAGGCTTTTTCATAAAGGAAATATTTAGAGGTGTGGTTAGGGTTACAGGAACCAGCATGGGATGTTGAGGCACCTAGAGACTAGGAACATCAGGGAGTTCTGACGATCCCCAGGCTTGAACAGCAGGGGGAGAAAACACTGTTTTTATAGGCTGGCTAAGAGCTAGAGTCAAGATGGGCTGCCCAACAGTAGCTGTAGTTTGGGTGATGAGGCCATTGATAGAACCACAGTGAAGCAGATGGTGAGTAGGAATAAATGGTGAGGAGACATATACTGAAAATAAATATTCCAACATCTCTCTCCTCCCACGGGCCAGAGGGCAAGGGAACCAGAGTAACAAAGTACCTAGAGGTCAGGCTCCCAGGACAAAGAACATCACAGAGAACAGAGAATAAATCTGCAACAAATCAAAGAATAACCAGAACAGATGTTTATGAACATTTGTCCCAGTTTTCTCAGAAAAGAAGGCATGGGGAGACGGAGGGCACGAAATGTGTTATGTTTACAAGGAAACTGGTTACCAAGAGTTTACAAAGTCTTCAATTTTGAATTGGGTAGCAAAAAGATGGAGAATTAAATGACCTGTGACTGGGCCAGTAGATATCTTTGCATTGCATATGTCAACCTCAAGCATTTCTCTAAAAATATCATGAGACGATCCTGTAGCACTAGAAGGCATCAGTGAAATTAACATTCAAGTACCTGGAAGATAATTATTTTGCGAAGGGCTATGAGACCAAGCTTCTGCCCTCAATCTCTGGGTTTGACATTGGGATTTTAGAAGAAACATTTAAATGGATAGGGAAGTAAAAGGTATATTGGTGCCATTAGATTCCTGAGCAATAGACCTCTCACACTGTTTCAATTTTTTGATAATCTTGTAATTCTTCACCTGTGAAAATACCATATGAAACTATTTACCAAATTTATCAACCCATGACACATCCACAAACCCAAACTTGCCAGAATACTTTAGTTGTTGTAATTATGTTTTTTGAAGAAGAGTGTAGTGGGCAGGGGACACTGGAGACTCCTTGGTCTACATGCCCATACATGCATATCCACATACCAGCATCAGCCATGTCTCTTTCTTCAGCAAAATTACCTTACTTTCCATTCTGTTCCCCAAAATGGGCAAAGGTAAGTGAGTAAAACCAAAACACCAATACAATGAGGATGTGTTTTATTATACACAGAAGTATCCTAGTATGCTAGAAAACAATATTGTACTAATTTTCTTTGAGAAATCAAGTAGCTGACTATTTATCTGAATGCAAATAAATGTAAGAAACACTTTTTTGACCTTCAGATACAATTTTCACAAAATACTTTCTCTTTAGATTTTATGGGTGGTCCAGTTTCCCCTTTAATGTGAGCCTTACAAGATTTTTGTATCTCTTAACATCAAACTCAACAAATAACTAAGACTTGGGGAATTTGTATTTTCCAAATGGGAAATGGGGGAGGGTAAAGGAAGAGAATCCTCCCCACTCCATCCCAAGGTTCCAGGGAGCTACTAAGAGATAATCGTTGATGTTGATTCCAGAAAAATGGGTCTCATGAAGTTTTCAAGCTGATTTCCTTAACTATTAACTTCACTGGAAGAAGGATTCCTTTTGATAAGTGAGGACAAAAAGGCACCATTGAATACCAATTACAAAAAGAAAAGAAAATCTATAAGCACACCGTATTTTGCTTTCAATGAAATATCTTCATGTGGTTGCTACGTTTTGTTGACAGTCAACAGATGTAAACATTTAGCTGAAATATGAAAATTCAAGAAAGATCACAGCTATTGGAAGTAGTAGGCTAGCTAAAAGCCTCTTCAGCATTGCTTGAACAGAAACAGACCAAAGGCAGATTATGTCTGAAGATGTATTGATTATTTACATCTCCTCAAAGAAATCATAAGTTCTTTAAAAGGACAATATGAGCTACATTTATGTACTTATGAGAAATGGGTAACTAAATACTTCATTGCTTAACATTTATTGGATGCCTATAGGTGATGAGAATGCATGATTAGAAGTCTCAGCCAATGGGGTTCCAGTTAATTACCTGAATTTGTCTTCCTATATATAACTTTCAAGGAAGAAAATAATATGACAAAAAGGAAATGGTTACAAAGTAACGCACATTTTATTTCCCAGTCTGATCTTTTTCATCCTATATATTTATAGTCAGAGCACTGTGTGGTAAGTCGAGCATCATGTACCTTGGCTTCTCCCAAGATGAATATTTTCCAATGATCAAGTCTTCACACTTTACAAGACCCTTTCAAATACATTATCTCATTTGACTTCTAAGTCTTACTGCACCATTGTGTAGATGGAAAAATTGAGTCTACAGAGAAACTAAATTGAGTCTGATGATTTCCCTAATGTTATACTACCTCATGCCCACTAGAATAGCTAAAAGCTAAGACTGACAATACAAAGTATCAGCTGATGGAAATATAAAATGATATAACCACTTTGACAAAAAGTTTGGCAGTTTCTTATAAAGTTAAACATATCTTTTGATCCAGCAACTGCAGTCACAGGTAATTATCTAAGATAAATGAAAATATATGTTCACAAAAAGGACTTGTACAGCAATGTTCACAATAGTCAAAAATTGAAAACCACCCAAATGTCCATTAACAAGAGGATGGGCAAACAAGTTGTAGTATATTAGCACTTAGCGATAAAAAGGAATGAATTACTGTACTGATACATGCAATAACATGAATAAAACATAATGCTGAGAAAAGAAACTGCATACAAGAGAGTATATATTGTATGTTTCCACTTATATGAAGTTCTAGAACAGATAAAGATAATCTAAGGTGAAAAAATTCAGTGGTGCCTTTGAGGGTTTGGGAGATTCCTCCCAAGGGAGGACTTTTTTCCTTATGAGAAAGAAATGTGGTGAGGGTATAGACACACAGCTCAAATTGTTCAATTAATACTTGTGCATCTCAATGTATGTATATTTTACTTTAAAAACTGTAAAAACAGTAACAATCAGATGGAGGAGCTGGAGGTGGAGGTTTAGATAAATGAAACGAGGCAGAACATTGATACTACTTCAAGCTGAGTGATGAGTGATGTCCCTTCTACTCTTCCGTTTATGTTTATCTATGTTTGAAATTTTCCACAAAAAAAGTTTTAAAAAGGACAATAAGGAAAAATGATCAAAAGCCTTTCAGGGAACTGAAAATAGTTCAGTATGGCTGGAGCAGAAAGTATGTTTTCCACTGTTTCATCTCACAGGAATCCTCCCAGACAGTGGTGAACTGAAAACACCAAATCTCTTAGTCACATCTGATTCTACAGTATGGACGGTTACATGACTAGCTAACACAAACGAATAACTGTGGTGGAGAAAACAGATGTTTATATCTCAAGTGTAAACATAACTTACCAAATATTATTACTTTAAGTACTTAGCAACAATTGGAATAAGAATTTAAACACGAGCCATGTATCTACCACGGAATATGGACATGTTTAATAGTACAGGCTCAGACCAGTATAATCCCCTTCTATAACTTGGTAAATTCCTGACATGCAATAAGTAAACTACACCACACCAAATCAGCAACTAATTTAAAAAACTATAAATGTCTTACAAATAAAAAAATTATGTATCTAAAATAAGTGGGAAATATGCTCAATAAATCATCTGATTCATCACTTCTCATCACTTCTTATTTTAATACAGATTATTCCAATGCTGTGAGTATTTCACTAAGAATGTACCTTAAGTTTTCTTCATCTGAATTCAACGCATTTGTGTGTGTGTATGTGTATGTGTGTGAAGTTGGGGCTCTGTGTAGACTTAGAATGAATTACAGATTCTATTTTAGAAAGAGAACTTAAAGGCTCTCTTTACTTTTACGAATGAGGGAACTGAAACCAAGAGAAATAAAGTGACTTATCCAAGATAAAAAGGCGTGAGGCCACAGGTCAGATCTGATTTCTTCAAATTGAAGTAGACTGTTTACAATATCCATGAATCTGAAATGCTTTCCATGAGCTGCATCCATATTGAATAACTCAAGAAAAGTTTATCTTGGCAATTCACAGAACACTATTCAAACACAGAATTGTTTAAAAGGCTTCTAGTACACTAGTGGAAATATTCTTTTGCCCCATGGAGATTATAATATTGAAGCAGAAAGATATCTTCAAAAGGTTGTGGAAAACAGCCAATTTACCATTTGTCTATGCTTGCTTACAGAGCATTAGAGTGGATATTGAACTACCAAGACCCTTTCCTCTATTTTCTCTTCTTGCCTAGCCCTTTGTTTGGGGGCCACCACATGCTCTTTACACCAGCGTATTTCAAGCTATGGGTTACAACAATCCACTTATGAGTTATATCATCAACTTAATGGCCACAATCAGCATTTCAAAAATTGAATTAATTAGATTAGAAAATACCAGTGGACAACACTACAAGGTTAGGGCAAGTTTTATTTCATGAAATTTCTGTTTCAGTCATATACATACATATGTGTGTACACTGGGTGGAAATGTAAAAC